GGCTACTATTTTTTCCATTGCGGAATATTTCGCGCATCATAGGAAGCGTATTTATTGTTTTAATGCAACTTTTTTCGCTTCATTATTAAAATTTAACAAAATTAAGAAATTATAGGTTTAAAATATAATTACAATTTGATATAACTGATTTTTTATTCGGTTTTGCAATTGATGGGTAGGTTGAAGTCGCTGCAGTGTCTTTTTGACGTTATGATAACCTGTAGCTCTTAAAGAAAGGGGTTGAAAAATATTATTTAAAAAAAAATAATAAACATACGGTCTTAAAATTTAAAACATAAATGTTTGAGAAAATCTTCAAAGCCAAAAAAAAAAAAACCAATACTAATGTTATAGATGGAAAACATAATTCTTTGAACAATCATGATTCAAAATCGGCACAAAATCGTAGGTATTAATAGTGAGTAAGACTTCTTAAAACAGAAAGTATTGTAATAAACAAACAGTGATAGTGAAATATTATAGTAAACAAAAAAATTTATGTGTCGATATCGTAACTACATCGTGTCTTGAACACAACTCAGATTTTTTAGATCAATCACTGTTTGTTATCTACCTTCCTTTCATTCTCCTTTTGGAAAACATATAAATACTTCCAGCAGATGATCCATAATGGCTTAGAAACCTAATAGATGCAATTATACATTGTAGATTTTCGAACACCAGAGAGATTGCCGATAAACTGTTGTCCTACATCTTACCGAAGACCCCAAAACAGATGATAGCAATAACCACCTTTTTCTTTACATCCACTGCTCCTCTAGTCTTTTTGAAAGGGGACTAAACATTTCCCGATATTTAACAAAATTAAAAAAAAAATTTCTTTCATCGTTTCAGTGAAAATTCCCATACTAACCTCTGTCCTTCAAGTCGTTAAGTTTGCTTCTTTTGTAGCAATCAGTGGATCGAATATTTTCTACTTTCTTTGAGGAACATTAAAAAGTTAGTCCTACAGTTTATACCCAAATCGTAAGAAAATACCTTTTTCTATGCAAATGCTCTATATATTCTGAATCGGTCTATCTTCTTATTTTCAATAACAATTTAAGGATTTACTTATAGTACATAATTCTGGTCTGATAGCATAGCAAATTTACTTTTACTTAAAGTGTGAATTTACACACAAGTTAATTTACACACAAGCAATTTTTCGTCGTATGAATGAGGTATTAATTATTTACTATAAAAATGAGGCACTACCAATAAGCCTTTGATTTATACCAATAATGAATTAGCATTTGATCTTACCAATAAAGAAAGTTTATATTCATTTAGGCAATTTCCTTTCATCACAAGTAATCTATGATTGGAAAACGTAGAAATGGCATCCAACTTACAAGTTTCCCACTGTCTGGCACATAACCCACTCGAAGAACCATTAGGCAACACAGAGGCAGTATGTGAAAAAGTATATTGCCTTTATATCCAAAATTAAAAGAAAAGCAAATCTTTCGAAAGGACAAAAGTCTCTTTGTATTTTTTATGTATTTAAAGCACACATGAGGGAAGATATTTCGTCAGAAAGCAATATAAAAGTTGTCTATGTACTAACGTGTTGTCCGACCGATAACAACTTCTTGTATCAAATGTTTTTCAATCAAATTGCCAAACAATTAAAAGACTCTGGGGTCACTCCTATGGTTCGATCTGACGATGTCTTAATTAAAACCCCTGTCTGCAAAGTGGTTGTCAAAATGTATCAACACATCGGGAATTCGCCCAACATCATATGTTGTAGATTCAAGGAGACCGGGATAAACAGCTGTCTTCAGTCTCATCTTATCTTAAAAATGAATTTTTATTGGGTAAAATGATAGAAAACTAACTACAGCTTTAATACCTGACATGTATTGCTATTATAACATTTTATAAATTTATCATTTAAGCACTATCACTTTGCGTTCATTTAAACATTTTTTTTTTCTATCAACTATTATATTGGTAATGTAATCTACCATCATGGTGTTGAGTTCACCGAAAGGTTATCTGCCGAAATTAATGGTACACCTTGGCCACCAAAAAAAAGCCAAAAATTATGTTCCGCCAAAAAATATACAGTATTATTTCAAACTATAATATCAACAATTGATTACAGTTTTTACGGTTTAAATTTTATGATCCTCCGCACTGCTTTAACGATAATTATCAATTATTAAACTATGTCTCTACTGAATAAGAATGTACTTGACAATCAATTATTAGTTCACCCGTCCAAATTACGTATTGTCAATTTTCTGTAGCTTACAATTATCTGGGTCTGCTATTGTCCTTTGCTCTACCTCAGCAAATTTTGTGTGCACGAGTGTGACTAAAGCATAAAATGTGTCAAAAAAATATGACGTGTACATTACTTACCTAAGCTTCCTTAATCCTCTTTTAAAAAATGAAAATATCCATTGCTTCAGAATTCGATAATTTTAACATGGTTACCAATTTAGAGAGTAATGGTGAAATTTTAGATGCCAATAAGAAGTTATAGGCACCATGGCGACCAATGTCATCGCCATGGAGAGCCCTGCTGATTTAATTTATATGTACATGTCAGCATTGTGATGAAAAGGTAAAAATGGAAAATAAATGCAATAAAAGACGTATATGCACCTGTGTTCAGCATTTTTTTTATTTTTCATTTCACACTTCACTTTTTTTCTATTTCATTTTTATCAGTACATTTCGTCTCAACCTTAACAAAAATACTATAGGAAACTATAGTTAATCATAGTTTACTATAGTTAACTATAGTACCAAAGTTATAACTTTTGAATTTGATTTCCTATGGTGAAAACTTTGGAACTTTGATTTACTATAGTATAAACTTTGGAACTTTGATTTACTATGGTGAAAACTTTGGAACTTTGATTTACTATAGTGAAAACTTTAAAACTTTGATTTACTATGGTGAAAACTTTTGAACTTTGAGTTACTATAGAGAAAACTTTGTAACTTTGCTTAAGCACTATAAACCCATAAGATTCTGGTTTTGCTTCACATTCTATACATTTTATAATTTTAAAGGTTAAGATGCATTAAAGCTTCAGAACGTTTTTTCAGAAGCCCGAATCGTTCTCCAAATAGAAAAAGTAAAATAAATGGTTTTAATGTAAAAATTGTCTCTTGCACCGATAAATAAGCAATATTTATCTAAATTTATTTAATTTTAATTTGTGCCGTTAAAACGTAATTTTTAGCTCACTTGAGCCAAAGGCTAAAGTGAACTTTTCTGATCACATTTTGTCCGGCGTCCGTCTGTCCGTCTGTCTGTCTGTAACTTTTCACATTTTCGACTTCTTCTCAAGAACCCCTGGGTCAATTTCAACAAAACTTGCCACAATGCATCCTTTGGTCGAGGGAATTCATGCAGGTTTTTTCAAATGAATGGCCACTTTTTCATTCTAGGGGATATAATTGGGAATTAATGAAAATTTGAAGGTATGATTTAAAAATCATCTTCTCAAGAACCACTGTGCTAGGAAAGATGAAACTTATAGGGAAACATTCTCAGGTAGTTTAATTAGATCCAAGTTTGTTAAAATCATAACCCCCGGGGGTAGGGCGGGGCCACAATGGCCGACCAAAGTTTTACATAGAAATATACAGGAAAATTCTTTAAAAATCTTCTTCTCAAGAATAGCCAAGCCAAAGTTGATCATATTTATATGGAAGCATCCACAGGTAATGTAGATTCAAGTTTATTCAAATCATGATCCCTGGGGATAGGATGGGGCCACAATTGCCGACCAAAGTTTTACATAGAAATATGTAGGAAAATTATTTAAAAATCTTCTTCTCAAGAATAGCCAAGCCATAATTGATCATATTTGTATGAAAGCATTCTCAGGTAGTGTTGATTCAAATTTGTTCAAATCATGACCTCCGGGGGTAGGGCGGGGCCACATTGGCCGACCAAAGGTGCTCAGGTAAGTGATGGGCCCTTGGGCCTCTTGTTTTAATTTATGGAAACAAAATTACCAGAAGATAAAAATTGATTTGTTTAGAATCGAAATGTTCGCTTCATTTACTTCAGTCAACGTGTTTTTTTATGTTAAATAAACGAATTGCATTTAAATCAAATAATTTTACATATTTGAATTAATATGAACAATAAAAGCAACCACAACAAACACAATATAATCCCCCTTAAAACAGTTTAATAATAAAAAAAATCTTAATTAAGATATATAACTTGTTAAAGTAATTTTAAAAAAAACATTGCAAATTTGATTAACTATAGTAAAAACTTTGAAATTTTGATTAACTATAGTAACAACCTTGCAACTTTGATTTACTATAGTAAAAACTTTGGAACTTTGATTTACTATAGTAAAAACTTTGGAACTTTGATTTACTATGGTGAAAACTTTGGAACTTTGAGTTACTATGGTGAACACTTTGGAACTTTAATTTACTTTGGTGAAAACTTTGGAATTTTGATTTACTATAGTAAACTATAGTTTACTATAGTATTTTTTGTTAGGGAAGGTCAAGTCTGAGTGTAATAAAGCAAAGTATAAGATGGATGTTCGAATAATATGTCAATAGAAAAATGTCAATCTTCGTTATTCTATTCTCAAGAAATGTGAAAGAAGCACACTAGCTTTTTGCTTTGTTGAAAAGTGAAGTTTCATTATATGTGATGTAAAATATATTATTTTACTTAATTAACTTATTGTTAAAATTAACATGTTTTACACAGATAGTTGTAGAAACCCAAATATTCGCCCAAGATTAATGGTCAGGGCCACTTTATTGTCTTAAAAATTCAGCTTTCCAATTTTCTATTCTATTTTTGTTCTTTTGGAATTATTTGTACACATGTATTATAAAAAGTATATAAAACACGAGGAAGATGGAAAGAGAAAAAAAACTTTTAATTGTAGTCATGGTTTGTTGCAAAATTCTCTAAAACTGATTTAAATAATAATACACTAAGTGTCTTTACATGCAGTTTGAAATAAAATCAAAGTAAAATTTTGTTTTTGAAGGTAAAAAACTATTTTTTACACGAAATACAAGGACTTGAAGCCCTTCCTGAAGAATGTAAATTCGTTAACATTTTGCTTGTTGGACCGACTGGGGCTGGGAAATCATCTTTTGTGAACACTTCTGCAACTGCACTGGAGCAAAAAGGCCGTCTGATCCATGTTGCAAATACTAGAACATCTGCTGCCGAATCTGCAACGAAAAAGGTAGCATCAGTGTCTGATTTTGGTCGTCTTTATTACACATACCTATATATTTAATTAGTTATAATTACATGTATGTACATACATGTACATATATACATTCATATTACAGATACAACCATTCTCCATTATTTTATATTACAAAAGTAAGCGGTTGAAATTATTATGTTTCAGAATGATTCGAAGTTTAAAATCATACTTATTTATGAATTGATTTAATTCCTTGAAAGATATCGGACATGATATTGCATGAACACGAAAACACCCAGCATTTCTTATGGTAGAAACTGTTTCGATCTTTATAGTATGTTTAGAGAAAGCAGTTAAATCTTTAATAATTTTTGTTTTCTATTACTAAATCAATTTTTTTACTCTTCAAAAAAAAGAAATGCATAATAGGAACAATAATCTGTAAAATGTGAATAGTTTGTCATACATTTTGAATTGATATGATTCATTCGAGTAAAATACGTTACTTTTAAGGTCAATGGCAACGAAGGGTTTCCGGAGAAAAAAAGGTTAATACATAGGTTTTTTCACTTATAAAAAAGTCATTGAGAGTGATCCCCCGTATTGAATTATCTAGGCGCTGAAAACAAATAAACCATATGTCACAGGCTGAGAGGTAAACAAAAAGCACATGTGTTTTTTATCGGATATTTTCAACTCTACAGTAATAAAAGAAAAGCAGCGATGGGTTTCTTTATATTGACCTTGGGGTGGGGAGGGGGCAGGCAATGAACAGATCGTCATTTACAATAGGTACATGAATACTTGGAAGTGCAAAGATGTGAATAATTATGCTAAAAGTGTTGATAGCTAGGTAGACCGGATGAGAGCGATTCTTTAGGTTATGTGAAGGAGGTACCATTAAAAGTTACTAGTATATCCTTGCAAACATGTTTTATGACAGTTCGTTTCTAATACAGTTATAGAATGGAAACCAACAACTAGTCTCTTGATCATTATGAATATTGATTAGTTGTTAAGGGAAGTAACTCAAAATTAAAGAACAATGCTGGTATTTCTGTGTTTTGTTTCAATATTTGCAGTTTCAGCCAAAATAAATGCATTTCAACGAAAAAAAGGTTTCAACAATGTATTTTATGTATGAACCTGATGAAAAAATGGGTTTTCGAGAAAACATATAGTTAAAAATAATAAAGGCCCATTTTATCATGATTTTACATAGGAAATGCATTGAAAATTGTAAAAACATTGGTTTGACAACATCTATAAAGGAAGGCTTGCTTGAGGGGTACATGTAAAAAGGACCTGAACTGAACATGGTTGGTACCATTAAACATGTTCAAAAAATCTTGAAAAGTTCTATACGAAATCCAGGAACGTTGCCAATGTCCTTAACGCAATTATATTTACATTTACTGAATATTTTCTTCTTTATTTCTTAAGAAAACTCATTGCGTTCATCCCTGCATAAACTACTTTAGGCATATCACCTGTACAGATTTCTTGATCAGTGGCCGTTCCATCAATGAAATGTACAAAAACGTTCGCATCATTAACACAATAATTAATATTTTTAATCCTACTTAAAATGATAATTTAAACAGATATAAATATAAACAATAAAATGTCTTTCTTTGTTTGCTGTTGCTGGAATGAACGGTCGCAGCTATTGCAGAAAAAATATACATAACCCGCTTACGCGGGTTATGTATTTTTTCTGCAACAGCTGCTTCCGTTCATTCCAGTAACAACAAACAAAGAAAGAATTTTATTGTTTAAATTAACTGTACAGCTATTCCACATACCTCACAGACAAAAAGACCTAAATATTCAAAATGCTAGATAAAATTTTGATCTTGATTTTCGTTTGTTGGTTTCTGATGCAATTCCTTCATGCATAAATAAAGACTTGACAAAGGCTGAGGTTCTTAATATTTTGATTCTGGCTTAATCTGAAAACTGATGCTATTTAAAAATTCTGCATCTGAATGTTGCATATCACAAAAAGAAAAAAAGAGCAATTGGAAGTAGGTGTACCACAGTCTACAATTACAGACTCACACAGCCTCATATCTAATCTATAAAACATATAATATTAATATGGAAAACCCAATATGCGCAAAAAAATGTCAGTCCACGTGTGACATCAGCATTACAAGATCGCTTCAGAGGATTACGTAAATTTCATGAATGTTTCACAATGGCGTCATCTTCAGCATTAGCTATCTCTAAAATGCACAGAACATCTAATAAGACCGTTTGCACTTGACTACGGATTGCTGGAATTATTTGCCAGAGGATTATTCATGCTATTGTTCCGACCCCACACCACTGCAAATATCGTCTTTTAAGATCTTTGATCAACAGATTATGGCCACAGCAACACTGCTGAACATTTTGGTTTAGCTACTAGTTTAGAATGTTTATTGCAAAACCTGTTGTAAGAATAGGGGTGCAAAAGCTTCGTAATGAACGTTTAACAGAAAACGACCTCCAGGACTTTGAAAGATTTGGTGGTGATTGTGTAATGATATAGGAAACGGTATTACATAAAAGTACAAGACTGTTTTGGTACATATTCAAAAGACGTTGATGGAAAATGGTACTCTAACTATGTTTTACCTGCACATGCATTTCCAATATTGCAGCATCCTGAAGCCGTATTTCAATATGCCAATACACAGTCATAAACCGCTCGTTTGACAATCACATTTTTGCAAAGCGACCTGTTTCTGTCATGGTCATCGAAATCACCAGATTTAAACCCATTTGATCAAGCATTAGACAAATTGTATTGGCATGATTTGCCAAAGACAATCGCTTCCCCGGACTCTGTAACAGCTGACCAAAGCTTTACATCTGGAGTGGATGAGTATTCCAAAACAGTTTTTATTACAAACATTGGCTTCCATTAGATAACCGTTTGGGGCTCTCATTTGTGTGTGTGTGTGTGTGGGGGGGGGGGTACAAGATGTTGATCTTTAATGACCTTGAACTGTTTTTTGTTTTAAAATTTCTGAGTAATTATGAGATTTAGATTGTAGAACTTGTAACAAAAATTCGAATTTCAAATTCTGGACGTCATAATGAAATTAACCAGAGCCAGACCGGGCCGTGCGGCTTACATATGCAAAGTATTACCACCTTTAACTCCTTTAACGTTCATGAATAATGTGCATTGTTTTGATTTATGATATATTTACTAAATCATGGTATTTATTAATAATTATTATTGCACATGTTTGCCATAACGGATTTTAAATTTTTTAAAACTAAGCATTTGTCCACTTTTTGGAAAATCTTCGTACACCGTCACGGTACTGAAGCCGATAGGAACAGAGCGCTCGCTCTGTGATCAGAAGGTTGAAGATACCAATACTTTCTGTGATACGGGGCGTCTGTCTTAAAGTCCAAAACAGTTGGCCAAGGAACACGGGCTCTTCTTTATCGAGTCTGGTTTTCGCAGACTGGGGATTGAACCCACGTCTTTCCAATCACAGAGCCATTGCTCAGCGATTATGGCTAGACCGTAGTGTTTGAAGTTTTATGAAGGGGTTTAATGAGGATTTTTTGCTGAAATAGCTATCTTGTTAACATCCCATGACTCCTGTTTGTTGGTTTGTTGATTAATTTGGGGTTTTTTTAATCTTGTTTTTTATTAGTATGTCTTTCTTTCTTATTTAGGGAGAGAAGGATCTGAAAAAGGAAGAACTTATATCTTCGAGTGATATTTAAACAGAATGTTCAATTTCACCGTAACATAAGCTGTTCATTTCTAATTGTTTAACTTATATATAATCAAAAATACATATTTGAACATTGCATATTTGCTGCATATTAATCTTTTTTCAGTTAAGCCCAGAGATATTAAAGATAAAGGGTGACAGTAATTTGACAGTAAGGATGTTTGATTGTAGAGGATTATCTTTGGCTGACCAGGAGACCATTGGTAAAAATGAAATGGAATTGATAATTGAAGGTCATATCAAACAGTATTCAAGTGTAAGTATACATCATTTTTAATATATACATTACAAATTATAATTCGTTAGGCCTAACCAACTGCATTTTTTTTTTATTTTGAAAGGGTATAACTATTTGGAAAACATAGGAAAATATTTACAGTAACTACAATAGAGATCTTGTTTTACAAACGAAAAAAATACTAATCATTTGTTAATTACAATATGGTAATAGCAATCGTAGCAATCGCTGTTAATAATTTTGTGTCATACATGTATGAATCAGAAAAAATGTTAATTTGAATGTGTTTTTCCTTAAAAGATTGTTTTAGAATTTCCCTATTTCATTTAAATAAATAGTTTTGTATAGAGAAAAATGTACAAAAATCTAAATGCATTTGCAGTCTCTTCGAATTCGATTTTTTGCAACTTATTTTGCAACTTATTTTGCAACTTATTGTAATCCATGGGATATTTAAAAAGAACGATATCAGTACGACTAATTAAACATAATTATATTATTTGTCTGTTTTAAAGTGGTTGAATAATTTACAATTTAACAATCCGTTATTAACTTAAAAAACTTGAAACAGTTACTTTTTTAAAAATCAAATATTTATATTAGTATTTGCAAGAATAAAATTCCATCATTAAGGTCACTGAAAGGTGTTCACCGGTGACTTTATCTGTGACCTTTTGGATACCATTTCGTTTTAATGGCAAATACATTTTAGTGATCCTTTGTTGGTATCTTTTTAACTAAGCAGTTTTATCAAAGACAAAACTTGCTTACTAGGGTGCAATATCAAATTCAACTTAAGAAGAAAACTAACACATATTTCAAGTTTTTATAATGGTTTATTGGCGGAAATGGCCACGGATGCACTCATTATTATTGCAAAACAGACACATCTCCAAGGTTAACCCTGGGAACAGATAAACAACCGGATATTAAATTAATGATCATGTTCTTTAATGCTTTTGAATAAATTAAAGTGAAAAGTCCAGGTGAGCACTACTGGTAAGCTGAATATCCGCTAACTCTAGAGATCAGCAGCCGCGACGGAGGGGAGGGCTCTCACGGTAGGGTTTTACCTGAAAAATACACAAAAACGAAGCAGCAAAAACACTTGAAAAATAAATACAGCCTATACTTCAAGTACTCTGAAAAAAAACACTACAATATTAAGCTAACATAATTTTTATGGGATGGTTGGGTGGGTGAATGCTAAAAGATATGCAGGAAGACTGCAGGTTGGCCGTGACGTCACATTTCACGCTTATCCCTGCTGATAAACTACAGGTGGCTAAAAACCCGACAAACCCCAAGAATGACATTAACGCTATTTAGCTTTGATAAACCGATTTCACTTAAATGAGTTTATCCTAATATCAAAGACAAAGCTTGCTTACTAGGGTGAATATCAAATTTAACTTAAGAAGAAAACTGACACATATTTCAAGTTTTCATAATGGTTAATTGGCGGTAATGGTGGCCATTACCGCCAATTAATTACCAATTACCGCCGTGGCGGCTGCCTTCATAAATAAGTACATAAGTACAAAACAGACAAAGTTCTAAGGGTCTAAGGTGAACCCTGGGAACAGATGAACACCCGGATATTAAATTAATGATCATGTTCTTTAATGCTTTTGAATAAAATTAATTGAAAAGTTTAGGCGAGCACTACTGGTAAGCTGAATATCCGCCACTAGACTATGCAGCAGCTGCATAGTCTGCACCACCAGTAGAGCAAACCTCCTTCAAAATTACACACTAAACCTCTTACAAAATGAAACTGTAAGCAAACATAGCCTATGAACAACTGAACCAAAACAACTACATATAGTGCCAGAAAACAAAAACGAAACGCTGTGAACACATCATCAAACAGTGAACACTTTGCGGCAAGACAAATGGGAGCCAGCAACAATGTTGCTTTATTAGGGCATCCCAACAAAGACAGTATCACATTATTTATCAGTGAACTCCAAACCACGAATTAGAAATGGGAGCCAAGCATTCTCCTCAAAACAAAAATTTGCGTCACATCATCAATCAGTCAACACCAACACACAAATTGCAAATGGGAGCCAAACATTTTCCCCAAAACAAAAATTTGCGTCACATCATCAATCAGTGAATGCCAAAGCACAAAATAAAATGGGAGCTAATCAATCTCCCCAAAAAAAGATTTGCGTCACGTCATCAATCAGTGAAGTTTATTTGGAGAAGCATTTTAAGAGTATTAAACTGAAATGATTATTTTTAGTAACCACGGCAACACCGAGTAGTGTAGTCTACTTTTGAGCCAAGTTATACTGAAATCAGACCAAAACTTTAGGAGGAGTAGCATTTTGAAAGCATTTCACAGAAATTTCTATTTCTAGTAACCACGGCAACACCGTTCATCGAAATCAAAAAGTGATACACAGAATTATGTATCTTAGTGTAGTCTACTTGTGTGCCAAGTTATATTAAAATCAGACCAAAACTGTAGGAGGAGTAGCATTTTGAAAGAATTTCATAGAAATTTCTATTTTTAGTAACCATGGCAACACCACTCATTGAAATCAAAAACCGATATACAGAATAATGTATCTTAGTGTAGTCTACTTGTGCCAAGTTATATTGAAATCAGACCAAAACTGTAGGAGGAGTAGCATTTTGAAAGAATTTCACAGAAATTTCTATTTTTAGTAACCACGGCAACACCGTTCATCGAAATCAAAAACCGATATACAAAATCATGTATCTTAGCGTAGTCTACTTGTGTGCCAAGTTATATTGAAATCAGACCAAAACTGTAGGAGGAGTAGCATTTTGAAAGAATTTCACAGAAATTTCTATTTTCAGTAACCATGGCAACACCACTCATTGAAATCAAAAACCGATATACAGAGTTATGTATCTTAGTGTAGTCTACTTGTGTGCCAAGTTATATTAAAATCAGACCAAAACTGTAGGAGGAGTAGCATTTTGAAAGAATTTCACAGAAATTTCTATTTTCAGTAACCACGGCAACACTGTTCATCGAAATCAAAAACCGATACACATAAGTATGTATCTTAGTGTAGTTTACTAGTGTGCCAAGTTATATTGAAATCAGACCAAAACTGTCGGGGGAGTAGCATTTTGAAAAATTGTTTACAGACAGACAGACAGACGGACGGACGACGGACGCATTACTATCGCATAAGCTCTTCTGGTCTCTGACCATTAGAGCTAAAAATGATTATAATAAGTCTGCCCTGTTATAAAATCTTAACACCCCAATGAAACAGGTTATGCTAATTAACACCTTTTATATTTATACAGACATCTAGATTTCCACCTGCCCCCTTTTGCAATTTGATCCTCCCCTTTGCCTTGAACCCAAGCTTCTGTAGCTACCCCTATCCGAAATGAGTGTGTCTTGTATGCTTTGGTACCTAACCCTAAATCGGCAATAAGCATTAAAAATACTGACATGACCTGATATCTTGTAACTGGGGTCCCATCGGCAAGGCAAAAGAAAAAGCCAAGTTGCTGTGGTCTAACTCTTATAAATGTTTTAAGTGACTGAACTGGGCATATAATCATAGATGTTGGAATTAAGTTTATGATTGCACCCTTGCCCTCCTAGTCAGTCTTTGAATGACAAAGATAAATTTGAATGCGATCACTTGATTTTGAATACTTAACATCCAAAATTTGAATAGCATGTCCTACTTCCCTACGGCTGTTTTGGACAAGCTCCCCCATTCTAAAGTACCCCAAAAATGCAGTTGTGAAAATAGCTGAGAAAAGGATAGCCTCATAGTGTGACGGACAAACTACCGAAAGTCTGACGCGCATTTTGTGTAGTATATCCTTAGTAGACAAAGGCCTGACGGTGTTTTCTGAACTACAGAAGACTGAGTTGTGTGAGGAATGCCTGATATTTTACAATTGTAAGAAATTGCTGCTAAATATTATCTAACTGTACTAGAGCTGTAATGACGAAGGGACAAAAATGCAATGAATTGCGAGAGTTGTTGTGTGGTCGGGGGCCAGGATATCTGATGGTTGTAAGTCGTTCTTAATGCATTCAACATGTTTATCGCTGAGCTGTACAATTTTTTCGTATTATCAGCTGAGGACTGATTTAACAGGACTCGAGATCTATGCTGTAGATCTGCTGCTGAAATGCGAGGGGGACCTTTGTTTGCTGCTTGTCGGCATCTGGAAAGGACTCTTTGAATCTTGACCATTGCTGTCGGGAAAGAGAGTCAGCTTTAACATTTTTTACACCATCTATATGTTCCCCCCTAAAAAGAGTGTTATGCAACAATCCTTGTAATAATAAAGGTCTAAGTAATTGCATGATTTGCTTAGATTTTTATGTCTTGGAATTCAAAATTGATACTAGGATTTTGTTTTCAATGTGTAAAATGACCTTTTTCCATTGAAATTTATCACCCGAAATGGTAAATGCCATACCAATAGGTACTAACTCTAAAAATCTGACATGTTTAAAAATATTTGAATGCCTCCATTTTTGTGGCCACACCATGTTAACCAAATGTGACTCAAAGATGGCCCCACAGTCCAAGTCTGCATGACCAGCACTATCTGTGAATAACTGAGAATCAAAGTCTGCAGTCCAGTCGGTTGTCTGATAAGATGTCACCCCATTAAATAAATCTAGAAATAACAACCATGTATGAATGTCATTTTTCGTCTCGGCCCCCACGAGTAGCATCATACAGTCTTCGAACAAATGCCGTACCGGATGGTATAGCCCAAACATAAAAATTTAGCAGCCCTGTTAGTTTCTGTAATTCTGTAATGGTAGCCTTCTTTTTATCCAACATTGCCTTTAACTCAGACTTAAGTTGAAATAATATTTCCTGTGGAATTTTTATTGTCATGTTAATAATATCAATTAAACCCAAGAAAAGTCAAAACTGGAGTAGGACATATTGTTGATTCTTGAGCTAATGGAACACCTAGGTCTGAGCAAATTGAGCTAAATCACGACATAAGATTTGCACAGTCCCCAGTGCCTGCTTGTCCGG